TTTTTTTTTTTTTTTTTTTTAATTCTTTTCTGTCGCGACGAAGAAGGTTTTGGTGGACGTCAATCACAAGGCGTTTCCTTAACATTGTCGGAAAACACAAAGCTATAAGGGCACGTGCCTGTAGAATGTCATGGAAACGCTTTGATTGACGTCCACCAAAATCTACTTCGTCGCGACAAAAACAAACGCTAGAGGGCGCGTGTGATTGAGAATGGCTGTAACGTCTATAGATAGTAACCGTGCTATACAGGTATACAGGTATACAGGTATCCCAGTCTACCCTAACCTCAGGGTTTTGTTTTTATATATTGTTAACAAGTTATTCATTTCGGACAATGTGCAATTAACGTCGATAGAATTCCAGCTAGACTACTTGTCGTATGATACTCTAGCCTGAAGKGATTTAACAAGAGAATGAATATAGAAAAACACTGGAATAATTTTTTAGTATTTGTAAACTTCATCTTTGGCCAACCAACACTGTACTCAGTTATATGTGAAATGATTTTTGATTAAAAAATTTAACCCGTTAAGGTCAGTCACCAGCATTTTTGATTTTGCATTTGAATAGAGGGAAAGCATCAACAGGTCTCGTTAGGAGCTAATTACCAATGAAGAGATTCAAGGAGAGACACTTGGACCAGTTAGACGGCTTTATTGTCTGAACAAGATGATATGATAATAACTGCCATTTGTTAACGTTTTTTATTCTTTTTTTTTTTTTATGTCCTTAACTATAATTATAAGGTTTTGATACACCTCTCACTTTACAATTTGTCATACAATTCAACGACCTGAGAATATATGCAATTAACGTCGATAGAACTCCAGTTAGAGTACTTGTCCTATGATACTCTAGCCTGAAGTTATTTGTAACAAAAGAATGGATACTAAAACCGAGGCAAAATAGAAACTACACATCACCTTTAGTATCTTTAAGATTCATCTCTGGCAAACACCCAGTCAGTTGTACGGCGGAGTGAGTGACCTGATAACATCAAGCTAACAGCTCAGCTATCGTTCGACTAATGAGAGAGAATGTTGACTGCACTGGTTATTGCTGCAGTCCTTAACATCCAGCTTGTGTCTCCCATGCCAGGCATTGAAGAGTACATCACAAGATGTTTCCTTCACAAGAGACTGGCTTTGCGACTTGTTTTCCCTGGCAAAACAAGTCTTGCTGTTCAGCAGAAGTAACTGTGAATCTGAAACAACGTGGTTTGAAAGATCTTATACACCTAGACTGGGACTACTGTGGTGGTTTAAGCGAGGTAAGAATAAAAGAAGGAGTTAAGGAAGAATGATTGAATGGAACTTGGTAGGAAGGAAGGAAGAACGGGGAAGGAAGGAATGAAGAAATGAAGGAACAAAGGAAGGAACAAAGGAAGGAACTTAGGAAGGAACTTAGGAAGGAACGAAGGAATCACCAGGTGGCCTGACAAGGCGCGCAAAGCATGATTTCCCGATCGAAAAAGGAATCAATCCCATCAACCAACGCGCGCTCAATGCACTTGTGTTTTGTAGCGGCAATCTTGAAAATCAAATGTATATGTGCGACTTTCTCGCCTATACATATTTTCTTGTTCAAAAGGAGACACTTTCAATAACAAATTTGGCTTATTATGAGACTGAAAGCTTCCTGGAGATGACCAAGGACCCAAGATCAGCGATAGATGTGGAGTATAATAATATATATATTTAGGCACTGCCTAAAGCGTAGCTCCCGATAAGGAAGTCACAGGGAGAACAATTTGAATGATACTGAAAGGTGAAAATAAGATCGGGGAAAAAAATATTCAATTATTTTTTATTCGAAATGATGATAATTTGTTATAATATTGCCACTGCCCTGCCGCTATGCTCAATGAGTTTTTAAACTCACTACAAAAAAAAAACACTACAAAAATTCGTTAGAATTATATCTAGTCTCTTTTCGGGATTTTCGCTCTGACTAGCGAGTCTTTAAGCGATTTATTCCTCTTGCAAGAGACGAAAGGAGGATCAGGAAAGATCCTTTTAAGGTTCTGGTTGCCAGTAATAAGGTGCCAATGCTTCATTCAAATGTTTTYGATGTTAGGTACRGCTGGATTGTACATAGTGACGAATGGTAACATTTTACGATGCGATTTTGTGTTTCGTTTTTTTAAGCGCCTCTTGTCTTCCAATAAATTAACCTTTTTTAAGAATGTTTGTGACAAACCCTTTTGGATAACCTCGATTGTGGAGGCGTTTGGTGAAGCTTTGTATGTCGTTTTCAAAAGCTTCGGCTACTGAGTTGTTACGTAGTAGTCTTAAAGCCTCTCCCTTGACAAAACCCTTTTTTACGCTAAGAGGGTGACATGATGAGAAGTGGGTGTAATGGAAGGTTTCAGTTGGCTTAAAATATGTTTTCACATCTAAAATGTGTGAAGTAGGGAATCTTGGTCCTTTATAAACTGTAGTGTCGAGAAAAGTTACGCTCTGTGATGATGTCACCCGGCTAGCTCAGTTGGTAAGAGCGTCGGTCTGTTGTGCGGGACGTCGTGGTTCAAGCCTCGGCCGTACCAACACTCAGGGTCTTATAATAAGTGAGGAGAAGGTGCTGCCTTTGTAATTACATCTGCAAATGGTTAGACCTTCACGTGGCTCGGATGATCACGTTTATGGCGGTCCCGTCCCTAATTAACTAGAGACGTTAACAGAGGACCACAAGTTTATCAGTTGAATTACTGTCAGGTGTTATCCTCTATAAACAAAGTTAATTATTATCATTATTATTATTATGTTTCACAAGTGAATTTTATTGTGTTGTGGAAATTATTAGCGAAATCAACAAATTTCGTGATCTCTTCTTCAGTTAAAGTCCACACGGAGAAAACATCATCAATAAAACGTTTCCAGACGAGAGGTTTGTAGGGACTATTAGATAACAGCTTTGTTTCTAAATGTGCCATAAAAATGATAGAGAAAGCAACAGCCATTTTAGTTCCCATTGCTATACCGTGTATTTGTAGATAGTGTTTGTCRTTAAATTTGAAAGAGTTTTCTTTCAGAATCAGTCTCATGAGCTCTTTTAGATAATTTACAGGAATTGGTAAGTTGGGCTCATAATGCTGTTCGTAGTGCGAACAAATCACTTTGATGCCTTCTTCTTGAGGAATGTTTGTGTATAGTGAACAAACATCCAGTCTGGCGAGTATAGCATTGTCTGGAATAGGAGTATTCTCAATAAAGTTTATAAAGTCAGTAGAATCCTTTATGTATGACTCTTGTTTTTTGGCAATCGGTTGTAGAAGGTAATCTTCAAAGCTAGAAATACGTTCGGTTTGTCCTCTACTACCAGATATAGGTCGCTCTACCGGAGTTTTCTTATGAATTTTGGTAAGAGTGTAGAATTCTGGTAATCGTGTGGGTGACTGGGTTTGGGATAACCACTTATGTGTCATAGTATCTATATGACCGTCGGTTCGTAGTTTATTTACTAAAGTACAAACTTTGGCGGCAGTTTCCTCTACTATGGGATTTGAGAGTGGACGGCGTAGAATTTTTTATCATCCAATTGATTCGTTCCTTCTTTGATATTAGTAGTGGTGTCGTAAATGACAGTGGTTGTCCCTTTATCGGCTTTTTTTACGTTTATATCCCTATTACTTTTGAGATTCTTAAGTGCAATTCTTAATTCAAAACCATAMAGTGAAATCGAATCGAAATGCACTACATTGTTTTTTGTTTTTTTGTTTTTTTTGCGCGAGTATACTCTCCCACTTAGGAATTTTGTACACAACTTACCACCACCCCCAGGGGCTAGTTTTGTTCTTGCAAGATTCTTCGACAAAAAGTTTTCCAAGGCCTACAGTTTTAGGCTTTGAATCTCTTTTACTTAAAGAAAAACGAAAGCTAACTACAGATAATTCAATACAATATCAAGCTTAGTGAAATTTACCTCGGTTGTCTTTCATTGAGATCGAAAATTAGGACAAATCAAGACCAAAAACCAGACTTGAAAACTGGTTAAGGTGAGCAAAAAATGAGGTTTACTTTAAAAAAAAAACAGAGCTTACATTCATTTAAACAGTTGACAAGAACAACTGAGTCAAAATAAAAAATAATGCAAAAGGCAATGCAAAATACAAAATGACTCATTTCTTTGGCAGTAAATTGGCGTTTGTAAATGTTTTTGAATATTTTTTAGCTTTTTAGAATGAATTTTTTATATTCATACTTGCTCGAACAGCTTAATAAACAGTTGAATATTTGGTAAAAATTTATATTTCATTTAATGATTAAATAAATCATCTGTAGAAAGATATAAAA